CTCCCCCCCCCCCCCCCCAAATATTCACTCATCCCCTTTGGAAATTCTGGAAGATTGGATTTCACAACCCAGCAATCCTCAGTTGCAGAGGCTGGAAGAGAGAATTTCTGAGTTCTCCTTCCAAGGGTGAAGCCCAAACTCTGCCTTCAAAAGAGAGAAGAAATTAAATAATTTCATACTTAGTACATGAGGATTCATAGGGGGAGAGGGGGAGTGATGAAATATGCAGGGCAATGTTGCAAAACAAACCCCACATTGTATGTATCTGCACACAATGTCAACATGAAAGGGCAGCTGTATCATGACATCATGACACCCATTTTTTATTTTTGCATCATTGTCATGACTAGGAACTCATGCCTATGGGCTAGTGGGACCTGTCCAGTATTGCAACCTATAGAAAGAGAGATAATTTAACAACAATAACCCCTTTAAAACTAACAATTCAGGCCCCAAATATATATATTTTAATGTTCCTATATTCAAGTCAGTGTATCTCTCATTTAGTTTGAAACTGCCTGTTTTGACTGGCAGTGATGCTCCTGAATATTTGGCAGAAGCTTTCCCCATGAAATGATGCTATTTGGTGCATTTTAGCTGGAGGAGCCAGAGACTGGGCAGGGGATTAACTGTATTATGGCCTCTTCTCATGAGAAGAACCTCTGCTTATATTTATTGTAAGACATAAAAAAAGAGCCCTTTGGCTCTTTTATCCTAAGACTTGAAGAACATGCTATTTTTAAAATATCTATCAACCTTATTTTAAAACATGGACAATAACACTAGGACTATTGCCCATTTATATATTTATTCAGCAAATTTATATGGCTACCCATCTACCAGTGGGATTCTCAGCAAATGAAAAGAATGAAAACATATTACAAAACTCGATTTAAAAAGCCAATTTAAATAAAGTGCAATGTAGGGTCTTATAGGATGGAAGCACAGAACGAAAGACAAAAGGAAAGAGAAGTTGATGTGCGCATCACATTCGGAAGGATTGTGTCCATACAATTCTTGGTTAGGTTTTCTAATGGAGTAAATAGCTTTGTTAAATCTGGCAGGTTCTTAATTTGTGGGTCTTGCAAGTGGCTCTTGCGAGCAATAAACTAAAATACTCTTTTGAACCCAACACTATCCAGCCTTTCATAGCTATTTGGCTTCATTAGCCATCACCCTTAGCCAGCGCAGCTCTTGGCTATGCCAGCTTAGAACTGTGGGAGCCAGAGTTGATCACAGCTTCAAGGCATTGGGCTGAGAAAGATGGCACAATGCTGTATCTTGCGAATCAGAGAGCTTCCCCACAAGCAGGCTGGCAAGGAAAGGACCTGGTTGCAGTGAATGTTTCCTCTGGGATGTGGTCTACATGCATTATTAATAAGTGTCTTTTTAAAAAAAGAATGAAAAACATTAATTACACTTCAGCATGTGTTTTCATTCTCTCTGCTTTGGCTTGAAAGAGAACTGCCTTAGTGTGGTCAGTAGGCTTAGCTTTTTCACAAGAAAAGAGCAATGCTTAGTATTTTGGAATTCATCTAGAAACGTTTGGGTGGGAAGAAAATACCACTTAAATTGATCAAGACTTCAGATGTTTCTCATTTGCTCATTCATACATATGCACACACACACGAAAAATATTTTCAGGACATAAATGTATGCAATCTGAATAAATCTGCATTTATTTCAGGAAAGCTTGACATATCTATTGGGAATTAAAGGTATATATATAAAGCATGATTGTTGTGGGGAGAAGGATTATTGTGACTCTTTCCCATTGTTTACTCTAGGGTCATGCATATATGTATTGCAAAATATAGCTGCAATTGCAATTTCTGCTTAAATGATTTCTAATCTACATAGTATGAAGAAAAGAGGAAGGAAAGAATTACAAGAGAGTTAGGAGTAGGGATTAAAAGGACTAATTAAAAATAGGCCTTAGTGTGTTTCTTTAGGAAGAAAATTCCTTGATTTCCAAAATATGATGAATAGGGCTAGCAATGTGTCATTCCTCTCATGTAAGTTCACAGTTGAGGGAGCACATTCTTTGCTACAATAAATTCTAAACTAATGCAATAAAAATAAAATCTGGGGTGTTTTTATTTCAGTTTAATGTTGAGAAGACAGCAGAGCCAGTACAACCCCGGACAATCCTCAGCTTTCCCCATATCTATGGCCCAAAGCCTGTCGTGACCACCTCAGAAATTGTTAACTATGTAGATTACAACGTGAAGCCAGGAGAAGAACCAAGCAAAGGAAAGCCTGCAGCTCTGGATAAGAAAAGGATGACCATACAAGTCAACGAAGAGCTATTTCTTCTCCCTCAAAATGGTGGGCCGTATGATTACTTCTTCAGATGAGTGACCATAATGAATTCTGTCTTTCTAATTATGAGTCCCAGCACACATGATCAACATAGTAAAACTAGACAATTAAGGATCAGGCTTACACTGCTGAAAAATGTTCCATATCAAAGGTGAAATGTATCAAGGCTTTAACAATGTTAAATCTATATTATCCCAATTTTGAGCAAATTATCTATGTAATTGTTCACATCTGGCACATTTCATCATATTGTTCAACACTCTTATTGATTTTCCCCTTTTCACAGCACCATTTAAAAAAAATTCAGTTTAGTCTCAGGATGGTAGCAATCATTCAGTTTTCCAGGGGATCTGCTAGCAGGCAGTGGTGAAACTTCTACAAGTGTATAAAGAAATATATTTTGAATTGAAAAATCATTTGCACTTAATTATTTTCACTTTCTTGAGGGCAGAGAGCTATGGCTCTACCTATTACACTGATGAAAGAATAAATGAAACAGTAATTGTTTCAGGCAAGCTAGGAGATTACATTTGGATATTAATAGATCAGCTTCCCATTTTGGAGTATAGTTTGTATCATCCTCAGATAGTGTGACCAATAGCCATAGTGACTGAAGGTAATTTAAGTTTATTTATTTTATTTATACATGATTTTCCATACAACTGCATCTCAAAGTGATTTAAATTAAATTGTAATAACAACAATAAATTAAAATAATTTTTAAATAATATTATCATTTTTAAAAAATCATTCCAAAGGTTATGGGAGAAGAAAAACAGAACTGAACCATTGGCCCAACATTTATACAGGAAGGCTTCGGTGAAGGGATAGATCTTCAACAAGTACCTAAAGGATATAATAGTAGACACCTCACAGGTATTAGGATACAGATTATTCCAGAGGGCAGATGAACTTAGATTATAATTCAACCCAGTTGGAGAGCACCATGGGAAAAGCTTATATAGAGAAAACAATTGAATGTACAACAGATGTCAACAGCTCGGTATGCCATTGTGAATCCCTTAATATATATTACTCAACTGGTTTTAATGACAATAAATAAAAATCCAGTTTTCTGTTTTTCTGAATTTTTCACATAAAAATTAAATTGATACATTTATTTCCTTTAAACAATTTAACTTACTATTACAATTCATCCTTTTAAAAAATAGCAATGCTTTGTTCATGGATGCATGGACTATAATGGTAGGGAATAAAGAAAGACAAGAATTAAAACCCTTAAAAGATTAATGACAGATGGCAAATAGGTGGCTATTAACTCTAATTTGATTTTAATTTTGATCAAATCAAATTTAGCCCTGATCCTGACTACACCCATTTGTCTTGACTCTGTTTCTCTGAAGTACAGCTTCTGGACCACTACCTAAAGGCTAAATATTGTTCCCCCCAAAAGGCCATACATCTGTTTTATATCATGGCTACAAAGTGGAAAAATAAAACAATATTCACAAATGGTCAACTTAGCTGGAATAGGACGCAATTTCTCATTAACATTCTTTTGAGTTTCAGGTGGGGTGAAGGATGTTTGTGTCACTGAGCACCTGAGTCCTGAAAATGCTGCAGGCTGCAATCAAGTCCCAGAACTTCACTATTGTCTGGGCTACAACCGACAGAAAGAGGCTCTGTCCATTGCTTTTCTTGAAGGTAAAGAGTCTCCAGTTTTGCAAATTGGTGATGTTGATGATGATGATGATGATGATGATGATGATGATGATGATGATGAATCTCTATGCTGCCTGACTCTGGGCAGCACACAACAATCAAACAAAGAAATTACAATAAATTCAATAAAACATAAATGATAAAGATAAATGATGGCAAGTGTGATGAAACGAGGACTATCACTGTCCCTCACCAAAGGCCTAGGTGAAGAGCTAGGTCTTCATGGTTCTTCTAAACAACAACAGAGTGGGGACCATCCAGATGTCATTAAAAAAAAAAAAATGACGTAGGAGTTATTCCAGGCAAATAAGACTTTAAAGAGAAGGCATCTACTGTATATAGAGAGCCAGACTGGTGTAGTGGTTAAAGGCACCAGGTTAGAAACTGGGAGACTATGAGTTCTAGTCCCACCTCAGGCACGAAGCCATCTGGGTGACCTTGGGCCAGTCACTCTCTCTCAGCCCTAGGAAGAACGCAAAGGCAAACCACTTCTGAAAAATGTTGCCAAGAAAACTGCAGGGACTTATCCATGCAGCCACCAGGATTCAAGACTGACCTAAAGGCATGCACACAAAGAAGTGAGAAAACATCATATAAAAGGCTGTAAAAATAATCATATAATTTACGTGCCAAGCAATGACTTGGATCCTCACAGCTAGGAGTAGCAATCAGATACATAATAATTTTAGCGTGTCACATTGTCTCACCATTTTATTCAATTCAAAGCACAAAATTAAACTATTTTTGCATATGGCAAACAGCAGAAGAGAGTAAGTAATGACTAGGTCACATAAATGTCCAATAAAGATATAATTATCCTTATCCAATAAATTATAGTTTAATTTACTCTGGTAATAAGCCATGTCTCCATATATTAATTCCTTGCCCTTCTCCTCCTTTTCTCATGCATGTGACTTTGGCAAAGCTTTACTGGTTTTCTCTGATATCTGAATTAGGAAGCCATGGAAGATAATACACAGCAATGTCGCTCACTCTTGATTCAAAAAACCAAAACTGAAGATTCTGTGGGGCTCCAGGCATTGCTAAACTATTATATAACCTAACAT